CGCAGAGAGCACGGTGGCGGTGGAGTTCACTCCCACCATTCCTCACTGCAGCATGGCGACGTTAATTGGCCTCTCCATAAAAGTGAAATTGATCCGATCCTTGCCTGAGAGATTTAAGGTGAGTAATCAGATCACTCTGCAAAGAGAAGAGGGGATCGTGTTTGAAAAGAGGAGAAAAAAAAAAAAAGTCAAAACAATAAGCTGACTTACAGGGAAAATAACTGGCACTTTTTTCATCCTGTGGCTGAGGGAAGTACTCCAGGAACCAGAAAGGCACTGGGCTAAAACTCCGGTGCCGTGTGAGCGTTGTGGGAGTCGGGTGAGGGGCGGGGGGCTCACGGGGGCGGGCCCCCGGCGCTCTGCCCGCGGGAGAGGGGACGCGGGTGCCTGGCTCCATGTCTGAAGGAGGCTTAAGCAGATTGGAGCGCAGAGCTGTCTGTGATTTTAGACTTTATTTTCATCTGTTATATATGGTAATTGGTATTGGTAATTTCCCCCCCTCTTTTTCTGACTGTCTTATTTTTATTATTAAATATTTCAAACTTGAGGTTCCAGTGATTTGTTGACTTGTCCCCTTTTTCTTTTCTGACGGTTTTTAAGCTGGATGTTCATATAACACCAGGAACACATGTATCTGAGCATGCAGGTAAGGCTTATACCACTCTGTTGTGTGACCTCCTTTACCTTTTTTAACCTTGGAAATTAGAGACGAGATAGATTCCCATAGATTCCCACATATGCAGAGCAGCTTCTTTTTTTTTTTAATTTTTTTTTTTTTCCTGGCTGGGACTTCATGTTCATCAGCTTCTGGAGGATGCTACAGAGGAGGAATGTGTAATAGTGACACTTAGATATGTTCTGTACTGTATTTTAAACATCTCCTCGGGCAACCTGTGCTGTCAAGTGGTCATTGATTTGCCTGCATTGTGGAAGATGGAGAAAATAGGCAGAGGCTGGGGGGAAGTGTCTTCCTGTGATACACCTACACGTGTGTAGCTCCCTGCTGCTGAATCATAAACAGCTTGGGATAACGTGCTGGCTTTGACTTCAGACTCCAGCTCTGGAGCGTATTCAGCATCTGCAGAATTACTGGTCTACCTGAGGGCCATAGCAAGTGTGATTAATGCCTCAGTGTAAAATGCTTTAAAAAAGACATTGTGTACCAATGTTTTGACCGTTTTCTTGTGGTGTTTTTTTCTGCACAGTTAATAAACAGCTTGCTGATAAAGAACGGGTAGCGGCTGCTTTGGAGAACTCTCACTTACTGGAAGTGGTGAATCAGTGCTTGTCTGCTCGACCATAACTGCCCCATGAGGAAACTGTTGGTATTCTGCTATGTTAGGTCAATTTTGTATATAAGTGGTGATGTTAGTGTTACACTATAAATATATATCTATCAGGAAAATAAAATCACTTGGAATTTCTTGAAGAAATGTTTCATTACTCCTGCAAAAAAGTATGTGGGAAATTAACTTACAGGCAGGTACAAACATATTATGAAAACCTACCTTTAAATATACTGGTCTTTGCATAGGTAGGATTTTTCTTGAAAAAGATTTGTTTCAATCTGGTTTTCACTAGTTTCTCACTTTCCAAAATTAGTTATAAAGGGCATTTTAGAAGTGGATTTTGCACATTGGACTTTATAAATACACTAAGCTAATTGGCAGTTAAAATCTTTATATGACATTATATGACTGTTTTGGACTGCTAATATATTTCTAGATTCAGACATCAAAAATGTTTGTGTCTGCAAAGTTCTAACACATTCTAGCAATAAGTGTAAACACTTCTAAATCATCTGCCTGGCTTTTATCATGTTAACTTGAAATAGCCAAATACGGAGGGCTCTTTAGACCTGTATGAAACAAGATTTATTTTTAATTACTCATTACTTGTGGTAGGAAATACAGTATCTTTGAGGTAGGTATTTTGTTGGTTTTTTTGTTTTTTTTTTTTCCTGCAGCTGCTGCAACATAGGAGAATAATTTATAGTTTTCAGTATGACCAGTTCAGCTACCCTCTGCTGAAAGACTTGCCTGGCAAAGTTTGACAGCTAAATGACAAGTTTTTCTTTAAACATATTGAGATTGAGTAATAATACCTAGCCTGTGCTTCTGGTCTGGGAAATGTAAATGTGGCATTACTGAGCTATTGTCTTTGGCAGAAATTGGCAATGGAAAAGTTCATCAAGACAGAATTCCAGAATTAATTTGAACTTTTGTAAAAGATGTTTCTAATTGTGAATCACAAGGAAGAGCAACCTGTTAAGGAAATGCTCTCAGGTGTCTAGGTATCTGCACACATAAAACGTTACATTCGTCAGCACTTGGCTAGAGTAACTAGAACACTTCTTAAAAAGTAGGTTGTGCTTACCAGCTTGGTAATGCTTTGCATTTCAGCAGTGTTTTCTCTTGGAGGGTTTTAGATGCTATTTTAAAAATGGTGAAGCTTATGAACAGTAAGTAAACTACAACCTAGTAGTCAACTCTAGTCTGTGTTGGGCAGCTGAAGAGACTGAGGCCGAGGTGATCCAAGTGTGACATCTAAAGTCACAGCAAAATAGGACAGAAACAAATCCAAATCTTCCTGTTTCAGAAATGAGGCACCCAGTTTGTGCTGGGCTACTACAGAAAGCCAGCTCTGCAGCAGCTATAATCTGCTTATTTGGCTTATCACACTTTTGGTGACCAGCACTTGTTTGGATTTTTGAATGAAACTGTAGATCAAGATGGTATTTATGTAGTATTAATATTGGGAAAGGAGCAGATGAACTAGCTCTTAATAGTAACTTTCTGCCTTTCTTGCTGAATCACTGAACTGATTAGTTCTGACATTGCCAGCGTTTGCCCCACAAATGAACCTTCAGCCATGGCACTGCATGCAGGCAGCTCACAGGCAACACACTTGGTTTCATTTTTGTTTTCTGTTTTTTTTCTAATAGAAAATGAATTTCACCCTCACAGATTTTGGGGAAAAAAGGAATGCAAATATGTGCCAGGGGGAAAACAGAAGGATGACTAAGCTGCCAACAGATCGCTTCAACCTGCATTCCTAATAGGGAAGGAATTGATAAATTATGCTTTGTTGAATCTCTCTGCTTGGCTTTCACCACTGCATAATTAATAATTATACAACGTGTTTAAATCATTTATGGGTATGTTGGCACTTAGCTCATGAAGCACATTGTATGCAGTAATCCTGGGGGTGCACTTTTCACCATTTACTTTTTCATAGAAGCAACAGTATCTGGTTGGAGTGTTTAAATGCATAGTGTATGGTTGGGGGGGTGACATTTCAGTGAAGGGACTATTGTGGGATATCAAAGGAAAGGTCTGATTTTGCTGCTTGGGGATGGAGAATTCTGTTACTTTTGATCTGGCATGTTTCTTTGAGATGATAGAAACAGCAGGAAGAATAAAGATAAATCATGGTTACTTCGCTGAAGATCACAGGTCCTCCTGTTAGGGCTGCCTAAGGTTGGACATGGCCTGAATGGTAACATAACACCAGTTCTAGCAAAAATCTTCTGTTCCCTGGTTTCAATGATCATTAGCTGGCTCCTGCTCTATGGAGATAAAGTGGGAAAACACCACATGAGTTGGTTACAAATATTTCTTTTTAGACTTATTTTTTCAAAAAGCTACCCTTAAATTTGGCCTCTGTAATGCTTTGTACAAGGACACATTCCATCAGAAACTGTGACCCTTTAGAGCATCTGTGTTGAATACAAACAGCCTCATGCAAGTCTAGGAAAACTGCCAGAAGCAGACATCTGTTTCTCATTCCTGGGCTCTGGGCAGAGCCTTCCAGGGGTGGCCGAGTGGCATTGGCTGCTCTCAATCCCCAGGCCCTGCGCAGGGAGCCCCCTGCGGCAAGCAGTGCTGGGTGCGGGAGGAGCCCGCCGCCCGCCCGAGCCTGCAGACCAGCGCAGTTGGTGCACCTCGGGCTCCACCACGCTGCACATCCCTGGGTTTGCCCACGCTGGCCTGCTCCCTGGGAGGAAGGAGGCTTCTTCCCAGCAGCTCCCATGCTGTCGTTGCTGCCTCGTACCAGCGGCTGGAAGGTTCTGAAGAGTTCATCCCCTGGTTTTGTGGATGGCAGCTCAGCAGCTCAGCAGCTTTGTATACAAAGATGCAACTGGCTGTGGAAGAACCTCAGGCTTTGCTGGCAATGTTGTTGTGCTCCTTGGGTGGAGTGGTGTGTACCACGCGTTGGCAACTGTTGGTTAAAAAAAGTTATTTCAGTCTTCTGGATACACTGAAGATTGATGTGTTTATGTCAAAGTGCTTTGATAAAGATCTCTCTCTGGAGCTTTGATTTATAAACTATGTGTTCTACAATGTTGTTTTTTTAATAGCTGTTAAAAACATTTTCCTTTAGCCTGTCAGGCAGACAACTATCCCGCTTTCCACTCCTTTACAAAATACACTCTTTGGCCTAAATACAGACTGAACAAGTGGCAGAGTCAACTTCAATCCCTAGACAAAAAAGTTTATGGCAAAATCAAGTGTTAGTATGGTCAGATAAGTATGAGCAAAGAGAATAAAACTAGAAGTTGAGGCTATTACCTGTACGTGTAAGTCTGCTGGTATGTCCTGCAACCATTTGCCAGCAAAGTTTAATAGAAAGCACATCAGGCTTTTTTTCATTCCACAGAATGCTAAAACCACATTTCTACAAAACGTACAAATAGCAGAGAGCTCTCATTTTGTTCAACACGCTTCAGTAGTTGCAGAAGACATGCTGTCACATCCTTGGGTAATTCTTACTATCAATCCATACAGTTCTTCTTTCATGTGCTACCTGTAAAGAGCTTTTGCATGCTGTGGCAGGTTCTCCCTATGCCTTTGTGGATCAAAGGAGTAGCCCTGTCTGCAGTGATAAAAACGTTCTGGTGGTTTGGATGGTGGGAAACCCTGCTCTCTCAGCTTTGTTCCCCACACTCACCAGGCTTGCTGAGTAACTTGCCAGTTGTCCCATTGGTTTTGTTGCTTTTCAGCATCGTGTTGCAGCGCATGCAAGCTTCAGATGGCAGGGCTGGCCTCTGATAGAGAAGTTAAACCAGTCTCTGGTTCCTGCCGTTAGCTCAGCTCTCAGCACAGGGCTGGAGGGAGAGAACAGGGCAGAAGTTAATTTCCTGCAAGTCTGTGGAGCAAATGTGACATGGGAATGGGGAGCAGCTGTTGCTTGGGAGCTTTGGGAAGGCACAGGAAGAGAAAGAAGGAAACAGCCCGTGTGTACAATACCTCAGTGTGCTGCCACTAGCATCAGTCTGCAGCAACACAGAAAGGTTGGTTCCAGCAACGGGGAGGTTCCACTGTGCTGGATGTGTTCCACTTCTGAGGCTTTGTCCTCCAAACTGCAGGGGAAATAAGTGAGCTTCTGTTACCTTATGCTAGACATATCCCACTCGTTCCCTACAAGCTGGCTGCCTGAAGGGGAGATTCCCCCGTGGGGCCTGTTGCCAAGGCATGGCCACAGCATGGTCCCCCTCTGCCATCCCCTGCTGGGCTGTTAGAAAGCCCTTCCCCTTGTTGCCCTCACACTGCTGCAGATAACAACAAAGCCTTTGCTGTCCCACTGCAGATAGGTCACAGCAGGAGGAGACAGAAGTATCAGAAGGACAAGTATCTACATAAAACTAATGCTTTATGTTGACAAAGGGAGATGCACACCTTGTCAGATGGTAAGTGCTGTGGCCAAAGAGTATGTACAGCAGCTCTGTCTACCAAACTGCCAGACTCTGCTGAATATGATCCTCTCCATTACTCTGATGTTACTTTGAGATGATGGTTTATTACAGCACTTTTTTTCCTAATTTACTCAAACTAATTTCATCTGGATTCCTATCAAATGTGTCACACATGGCTTTGACCAAAATAACTTCAGTAGATTGTCAGGAGCTTGCTTAACGCCATGATGCCTGCCAGCTTGATTTCTCTACACTTTTGCTAATGGGAAAGCTGGCACATACTCTTCAGGATTGTGAAGGTATCCAAGTAGCAGTACTTTTTATTTCCCCTGCAAAGTGACAACTCATCCATATAGCCTGAAATGCTTGCAGAGAAAAACAATGAATGCCAATAGATTCCAATTTTTTTCTAATAGTTATAATAGAATAAAACTAGTTGTATTACAGAAGATCAGAAAACAGTTTTGTTAACACTGCACCCAGCTTCTTTAAAAACACCATTACTTTTAGGGTAGACAGAAAATAATGATTAGGGGTGAGTCACGTAACTTGTTTCTCTTTAAATTGGTACTACCTTATTTTCACAACAATGCATTTTAGACACTATT